AAGAATATAAGGAAATATTTGGGGTTTTTAAAAATGCTTTCTTATCTCCATTGGGGTGGTGAATAATAGAGTTTGACATTGTCAAACACATTTTAAAAGGTACACTCAAAATGGATGTGATTATTAAAATGCAAATTACATCTCAATAAAGTTGATTAAAAATTTCTAAAAGTGCTAATATTTATTTATTGCTTACAATGTATGCTTCGCCATCTCATGAGTTTGCATATATTCTTACACTTTAATTTGGTGATTCTTACTGATGTAAAAGTTACTTTCATGTTGCAATGTTTTTAAAGGTTTACTTCCAATAGGAGCTTTGATAGTCATAGAAATGGGTAAAATAAATCAGACAAATAAAAATAAATATGTCCATGTTACCCTCATATTCCCATTTACATAGTAATAATATCTTAATTTAAAAACAAGCAGTTTCTGAATAATACAATTATTATAGCAAGACCAACTCTATTCCTCTGCCACCATGTCAAACAGTATTTTTGATATGTTTTATAGGTTACTTCGTTTAGTTGCTATAAATTTTTGATGAAGGTTCCTACTTGTAAAGTGGAATTTTCCCAAAACTGAAAGCATTTTCAGAATTATTTCAATTAGAATGTCTTCAATACCTCTTTAGCAATTGCAGCCTCATGAGAAAGAGTATATATTATTTTAGTCAGCCAGTCAACAAGTATTTATAGAGCTCTCACAGGATGTCTTACATTGTACTAAGCAAATTTATTACTTCTTTTCAAGTACCTGTGAGGCATGAGGATATTTTCCCAGAGTTGCTGTAAAATGTATTGCACGATTTTGATTAAATTGGGGAAAAAAGGGAAGAAATTGGCATTTTAATGTAACATTTTTCCTTTTTTTATGTTATAGTGTATGCTTTCAGGTGATTCTCTGTCATTTGGGTATGTAAGGCATACAGGATGGCAAATATGATACACAGGTCAGAAGTGACACCAATTTTAAATATAAAATTCCTCAATATGTCTTCTTATAGCTCCATGAACAAATAAAAGGGGTGGAAAAATGAGATGCTGAAGCAAATGCCAATTATCTTGGGCCTATTTATTTTATATAAACTGCCTAAATGCAAGATTTCTTCCAATAACATAATATACATTACCATTTCCAATCATTAACTCACACTTGATCCCCAAACTAGAAACTATTGAGCCCCTCTGGACCCTGATCCATTGATTCTTCTCCATAAGGATAATCAATTCCTTATTCCTCCATCAGTCAACACCTACATGTCCACAGTATACATTAATTACAGAGTATGTCAGGGCATACGTTCAATGGTAGCTACTTTAAAAATTAATGTAGCAAGCCATGCCTGTAACAATGTTCTTGGAATATCACATGACAATATTAAATATCAGGTAGTTTGGGATGCAAGGTGCACTCAGGTACATGTACCCACATGCATACACACGACTCAGTGACACATCAGAAACATTTATTTTCCTTAAATCAGAAATCACTTGTTATTTTTTTAATGTTCTAAGTGTGGTTTTCTCCAAATTATAGCTCCCTGGTTTCTTCCAAAGTATTCAGCCAGAAAGAGATATAAATGTACATTTGAAATTGCCCAAAATTATGACTGATGTAGAATACTGTCCTTCTCTAAAATATCCAGTCATTAAACTTTGAAAAGTCATGCTAGTGAGAACATGCAATCACTAGCCAGAGAGTATTAATTTGAAAACAGACAACAATGATTTTATATTTCTATTTTGAATGTTTTCTATAAAAAAACATTACAAATATCTGTTTTACTGATCTGTATCATAGTTAGCCTACACTTAGTACAAGTACAAAATAACAATGATTAAAATGAAAGCATTATATTTACCACTATTTTTTACTTTATACTCTTTTAAATGAAATAATACGGCAAAAGAATAATGAAAACAACAGACATACTATTTATATGCAAAGTTCAGCCCCCTTAGTTCAAAGAAGATAGAAAAGAATGTTTATTATTCTTGTGAGAAGGAGGAGCTCAGTCGTTTCTATGAGTGTTTGACTTCAGGGTAAGTTACAATTTAAAATTTCCTACTGGGTTAATAGCAGGTACCAAAAGTTCAGAAGAGCGGCAGTAATTACTTCTTCCAAATGCAGAAATGTGTCAGGAATATCATGCAGTTTAGCATTACGTATATCCTGTTCTTTTCATTATGGCTTAAAATACATGCAATTTAATGTTACTTCTCCTAAAATATCCAAAGATTATGTCATAATCAGATTAGTATATTTGGCTATTTCAAGTTATACATTTTTTCTCAGAATTCATTTTTTTTTTTTTTTTTTATGAAAGCGCCTACAAATAGTCTGTGTGTAAGAGAGGATAACTGAGTCTGAACATCTCTGCCCTGTGATAAACAGGGCATATGCGTAACAGATTTCTCTGTATTGAAGTAGTCTGGGTGTTGTAAATGTCATAGTTTGGTAATTCGGGCACTATCTGAGGAATTGTGTAAATCTCAGATCGGCTGTTTTTCCTTCTAAATGGTCTGAAGGCCACAGTCAAATACTTCATGTATATATCAAACTCTCTATGGCTTCAACTCATTGATGTCCCAGCAAATTCTGTTTGCTTTATTTTGTCTTCTCTACTCCCTTAATAATCAGCCTTGCTTGTTGGGGAGACCTCCGTTATGTGCATGTGGCTTCCTGTCTCCTGTGGTTCTGGATTCTCGCTCCAGGCCTCTGCGTCCCTCACTCAGCTGCATCTTACTCTGTGTTCCCATAATAGCTTCATTAAACTTGAACAAACACTTCTCTTGCTAGGCTTGATTTCATTGTCTTAAGCGCTCATTAACTCACAGTTATTTTAATGATCTACTTATTTATTTCTTGGTAGTGACTTCTCTGAGGTCACAGGACTCTGAGGATGAGAAGTGAAACTTCAGCCTGGACAGAGGATAGCTAAAACACACAAACGATGGTATACTAAAAAAAGTAATAAAAAATTAAACAATAAACAGTCTTGTTTTTCCGTGAAGCTCAGTGCCCATGTTTGTTCTCCCTAATAAGTCAATTCCTCACTTGAGGGTCCTAGGTTTCCCAAGCAAACAGAAGTGAAGTGCCTTGCTAGCTTTTCACGTACACAGAGTCAGATAACCTTAATGTTCCCCTCAGCTTGACCAAACTTGCGACAGTTTTCTTCCTCATCTTAGGATCCTGCCCTTCCTCTCCTATAGAACATTTACCTTAGGAAACTCTCCGGTGTGAATTCTTTCTTTGCCCCTTTGAGTTGGAACTCTTCTCCAAGCCTCTAGCTAGGTTTACAATTGAGGACTTCCTCAAGGAGCCATCTCTTTGGAATGTAATCATCAGGAAAGATAAAGCCCTTGTCCCTTAGCCTCCATGGAAGGGCAGGAGCCTAACTTCCATAAACACCAATTAGTAAACACAAAGAAATCATATAATTCAGTTATCCACATAATTTATTTTAGTGAGGGCACTGTATTATTAGTCTGTTTTCACGCTGCTGATAAAAATACAGCTGAGACTGAACAATTTAACAAAAGAAGAATTAATGGACTTACAGTTTCACATGGCTGGGGAGGCCTCACAATCATGGTGGAAGGCAAGGAGGAGCAAGTCACATTTTACATGAATGGCAGCAGGTAAAGAGAGAGAGCTTGTGCAGGGAAATGCTCCCTTATAATACCATCAGATCTCATGAAACTGATTTATTATCATGAGAAAAGCACTGGAAAGACCTGTACCCATGATTCAATTACCTACCACTGGGTCCTTCCCATATGTGGGAATTACAGGAGTTGCAAGATGAGATTTGGGTGGGATACAGCCAACCCATATCAGGCACTTATTTTGTTTTAAAATAAAATAAAGTTATATAACTTAAAATAAAATTATACCATTTATTTTATTTTAAAGTAAAATAAAATTATGTAACTTAGAGTTATATGTCATAACTATATATCCCTATAGCATATATCTTAATATGCTTAATACATATACACACACAATATCTCTATTCTAAAAATTGAGTATGCTATTCTTGTTTTTTTAGACGAAGTCTAGCTCTGTCTACAGGCTGGAGTGTATTGGCATGATCTCGGCTCACAGCAACCACCCTCCCATCAAGCTATTCTCATGCGTCTGCCTCCCGAATAGCTGGGATTACAGGTGAATGCCACCATACCTGGCTAATTTTTGTATTTTTAGTAGATATGGGGTTTCACCATATTGGCCAGGATGGTCTCGGTCTCTTGACCTCGTGATCTGCCTGCCTCAACCTCCCAAAGTGTTGGAATTAAAGGCATGAGCCCCTATCCAGCTGCTATTCTTTTAATACAGCAAACTGAGCTAGTGAGCCAGTGGGAAACCAACCTCCGCTACTGAAAAAATAAGTTTAAAAGAAGGACCGGAAAGAGAATTTCCTAATCTGGAGAGTGTAGATTTTGTGTAAGAATGTTAAGTCCTCTGGGTAGACCATTAAAAATTGGTAGCACAGAGCAGAATCATCAGGCTAAGCATCCTAAAATTACCACATACAGAAGTCACCTCCTAAAGTCCTGAAATTATTCTTAAATATGATGAAAAGTATATCAATTGGTAAAGAATATGTTTTATTTCTCTTGTTGGAAAACAGAAGAAAGGCCGCTGAGGAACAACTAATAAAACACGGGAACAAAGTGGGTAACACTGGTTTGTATTATTAGAAGAGTCCTGCAGAGTTGCATGTGCAGGGCAGATACAGAGTGAACAGCAGAATGCCTTGGAGATGGGCAGGATCTTAAATTAAGTAGGAATGCACATATTTGATAAAGAAAATCTCCAAAGCAAAAACAAGCACAACAAATTCAGAGTACCTGTCCTTTGACCTCAAGTGGGAACCATAAAGAAGAGAAAAAAATGGGGGTTTCTCCATATTGGTCAGGCTGGTCTCGAACTCCCGACCTCAGGTGATCTGCCAGCCTCAGCCTCCCAAAGTGCTGGAACTACAGACGTGAGTCACCTCACCTGGCAGCACATATACTAAAATTGGAACGATATAAAGAAGATTAGCATGGCCACTGTGCAAGGATGACACCCAAATTGGTGAAGCATTCCATATTTTAAAAATTAAAAATTAAAAAAAAATAAGAAGAGAAAAAGAATCAGTTTCAGATACAGGGGAAAGAGTGCCAGGAAGCCATCTACTCTTTAAGTTCGTTATGTCAGTCAAGGTTGTTGATTACTAAATAATCGAAAGTACTCTATCTACTTTAAGTGAAAAGGGGATTCATTATTGGACTAGTCATTCATTAAATCATAAGTAATGATTGAAAGAACAGAGTAGCTGTGTATGGGCTTCTGTCACCAGGTGCCTCCTCAAAACCACACGGCCAAGGTCTTACTTGGGGAGAAAGCTCCGCCTCTGCAGCTTCTGCACTGTGGACACAACACAAACACGTTGGCTAGAGGACAATGGCTACCACCACTAGACAGGTGTCATTCTATGACCTGGCAACCATTAGAAACCTGTGCCGCTGCTAATTATGAAAGATAACACCATTTCGCTGCTCACATCTGCAAACAGTGGAATTATATACTGAGTTTTTTCCTTTCAGTATTCCATTCTGGAGAGACGTCCCAAATGGGCCTATTTGAGCTGTAAATGGGGCTAGAAATATAAATATGTCTTGATTCCTTTGCCAGAATAATATTTTTTTTTTTTTTTTTTTTTTTTTTTTTTTTTTTTTTTTTTTTTTTTTTTTTTTTTTTTTTTTTGAGACCGAGTCTTGCTCTGTCACACAGGCTGGAGTTCAGTGGCACAATTTCAGCTCACTGCAACCTCCGCCCTGAGGGTTCAAGCAATTCTTTGCCTCACCCTCCTGAGTAGCTGGGATTATATACGTGCCTGCCACCATGCCCGGCTAATTTTTGTATTTTATAGAGATGGGGGTTCCACGGCTTGGCCGGGCTGGTCTTGAACTCCTGACCTCGTGATCCACCACCTTCACTTCCAAAGTGCTGAGATTATAGGTGTGAGCTACCACGCCCAGCCATGATAGAACTTTTAAGGTAAGTATTTTCCCATACATAGACCGGGTATTCTAAATGGATTCTTTGATAACATTTATTTTATATTAAACTTTCAATAAGTAGCAGAAATCTATAATCAAATGTTTAACAAAATTTCATCTCATACAAGCAAAGTCACATTTTTTATATAAGGTGACATTGCTAGTTGAGTGTTCTTCAACACATTATTTTCAAATTCAATTCATTTTTCAATCTTTCAATTATATGATCACTACTGATAAGGATCTATCTATCAGAGGAGTTTTGAAAATTAAGAATGATACTATTGGTGAAAATACTTCTGGGGATCAGTTGATAAGCACTTTGTCTTCTTAAGTTTTTACTGTATTAGGCTAAAAAAAAGAAAACCTGGTAATCTTCAGTTGATCTACTTTGTTCAATATTTAAAAATTTTAAAACTATAATGTGATTAATTTATTAATTATGCATATATTCACTGTCAATTTCTTCTGGTAAAATTCAAGACCTTGAGGACAAAAATCTTTTTCCATTTTGTTCAATTATGTTTGCCAGGAAAGCAGCTTTCCATCATTCTCTCTTCAAATGAGAAGCTGACCTTACCAGAATTAAACTGAAATTTGTGTTCTAATTTCTTAATTTATTGACTCTCAAGCACATACACACCTAAAAAGTCAGTGGCTGGTGCTCTTTGTTTTTTGTTTTTGTTTTTTTTTTGAGATGGAATCTGGTTCTGTCTCTCAGGCTGGCGTGAAGTGGCGTGATCTCAGCTCACTGCAATCTCCGCCCCTGGGTTCGAGCAGTTCTGCTGCCATCATCTTCCCTAGTATCTGGGATTTTAGACACATGCCACACTCATGGATAATTTTGTTGTTGTTGTTGTATTTTTAGTAGAGACAGATTTTCACCATTTTAATCAGCCTGGTCTCAAACTCTTGACCTCAGCTGAGCCACCACCTTGGCCTCCCAAAGTGCTGAGATTACAGGAATGAGCACTGAGGCTTATTTTTCTTAACTTACTTTACTTTTTTTTTTTTTTTTTTTTTTTTTTGAGTCAGGTGTTTGCTTTGTCACCAGGTTAGAGTGTGGTGGCTAGATCTCTGCTTACTGCAAACTTCGACTCCCTGGTTCAAACGATTCTCCTGCCTCGGCCTCCCTACTAGCTGGGATTAAAGGCATGCACCACAACACCCAGTTAATTTTTGTATTTTTAGTGCAGATGGATTTTCACCATGTTTGCCAGGATGGTCTTGATCTCCTGACCTTGTGGTCCTCCCATATCAGCCTCCCAAAGTGCAGGGATTACAGGTGTGAGCCACCATTCCCAGCCAAATATCATTTTAATGTGTCTACTCTGTTTACTGCAAGACATGTTAGACATACAGAAGCAAAGGCACTTAATATTTTGGGGCATGTGTTGTATGCCAGAATATTTGTCTTATTTTATATTATTATTTTCACAATTAAGTTTGAAATTGATAGTACCATTATTATTTTACAGTTAGAAAAAAAAAACACACAGAAACTTATTAACTCATTCAAGGTCAAATATTTCTACTGATTTGCCGTTCTAGAAAGACCAGATAGCAATTGTTGACTGAGAATCTTTCTAGCATACTATTTTTTAAAAACACCCTGGCATTCATCCCTCCCTTTTTGTTTTCTTTAAAAAGAGTTAATAAATGCCAGTTAAGAATGTCACTATTATTCTCCCTCCAACTGTCATTAGACAGTTAATTTGCCAGCTTCTTTCCACAGCCCCAGATCTTAGAGGACAACACGATTCTCTCTCTAAAATCTTCACTTCACATGAGTTGATGCTTGATTAAAAAAAGAAGAAATGCAATTATGTTGCAAATTTCTTGTGGCTTCCTTGTATTTTTGCTTCTAAATGTACTTGGACTTCCATTTACATGTACACAACACACAGTCAACTATATACAATCATTTTTGTTGTTGCACTAACACATTATCAAACATAGCGGTTTAAAATAATAAAAATTTATTTTTTTAGCAGCTCTAGAAATTAGCTTTCCAAAATGGGTTTTACTGGAAGAAAATCAAGATTTCTGCATGGTCATGCTCTCTCTAGAGGCTCCCGGCCAGATTGTTTACTTGGAGTTTTAGCTTCCCGAGGCTGTCAAGCTTCCCTGGCTACGGCTTTCTTTTACTTTTAAAGCCAGCAAAGGGCCGTTGTCTTTCTTACTTCTCATCACTCTGACATTGATACTTGTTTGACCTTCTCTTTTCACTTTCAAGATCTCTCATGACTACATTGAGGTCAGGAGATCGAGACCATCCTGGCCAACATGGGAAACCCTGTCTCTACTAAAATACAAAAGATTAGCCGGGTGTGGTTGTGTGCACCTGTAGTCCCAGCTACTTGAGAGGCTGAGGCATGGGAATTGCTTCAACCCGGGTGGTGGACGTTGCAGTGAGCCGAGACTGTGCCACTGCACTCCAGCCTGGCAACAGAGCAATATTCCATCTAAATAAATAAATAAATAAATAAATAAAAATAAAAAATTCTCGTGATTACATTGAGTCAACCTTGATCATCCAAAATATTCTCCCCATACCCAAATCCTTATTGTAATCACATTCATAAGATTTCAGGAATTAGGAAGGATACATTTTATGCAAGCATTTATTCTGTGTGTGTGTATATAGATAATGTATTTTAAAAATATAAATCTTCAAACTGGAGGCATTTAATGAGCTACGCTCTTGGCATGGGGTATCTAATTCTTGCCTGAAAGTGAAACATTTGAAAAAGCGTATTTGATTTTTATGTCCACAGGGTGATATTTAATGAATGACTACTCCAGTGAACTGAAAGGTCCACCCTTAAATAAGCATTAATTTATTTATTTCATATCATTACAATGATAGAAGATAAATTATAAGAAAAATGTCCTTCAGGCTTAAATATTATAGTTAAATAAATGCAAGATATAATGGCAGTATAAACTTGGGCTCAAAAGAAAATGTTATACATAAACAAATGTTTCATTTGCTAAATATATTTTACTATAATTTTTAAAGGTGATATAGATAACCGAGACATTCTTTAAATTGGTAAGTAAACAAAGACCTCACATCTATGTAGTTTCTCTTCTTGAAAAGTTTCAAATAACAGATGCACAAAATCCACTTTTATAAAAAATTTACTTCTGTCTACATATTAGAAAAAATACATTAAAATTTCCCAATATCTTTAAAAATTTATAATTTCTGTGATAAAATACATAAAAACACATAATCAAGTCTATTTTTATTTCATGAACTTATTTTTTTCATGAACTTATTAATACTGTCATGGCTATATGAGATCCACCTGGGACAGATATATATATATATATATATATATATAATTAAAAATCGGTTTTAAATCTCCAAGGGAAATGCAGGTGATACTTTAGAACGTCTCAAATGGAGAAAAATATAGCAACCTCAAAGTCTACAGGCAAAGGAAGTAATTAGCTAAACTTCAGATGAAACAAAAGCAAATTACAGATCACATGTAAAATTACCCATTTTGCATATGTAATTAGGTTTTTATGCATCATTACATATAACTTTTAAAATTTAACCTCAGAACTTGCCTTTCTACTTTGACCAAAATTATATAAATCTATCAAAGGATTGTATTAACACTATCGACGTTCCTTTGCAAAACACGGCTTCTTCATTATTATTTTCTTTTCAATTAAGAGCAATGTCGCCGGGCGCGGTGGCTCAAGCCTGTAATCCTAGCACTTTGGGAGGCCGAGGCAGATGGATCATGAGGTCAAGAGATCGAGACCATCCTGGTCAACATGGTGAAACCCCGTCTCTACTAAAAGCGCAAAAAATTAGCTGGGCATGGTGGCACGTGCCTGTAATCCCAGCTACTCAGGAGGCTGAGGCAGGAGAATTGTCATTGCACTCCAGCCTGGGTAACAAGAGCAAAACTCCGTCTCAAAAAAAAAAAAAAAAAAAAAAAAAAAAAAAAAAAAAGAAAAGAAAAGAAAAAAAAAGAGCAATGTCATTATTTTATTTTCTCTCATTTCCTATTTTTTTTTCCTGCTATTGT